AGGCCAACACTCTATCCACTGAGCCAAACCAGTTAGGGCAAAAATATATTTTTAAAAATTACATGCAAACACACAAATGGGACATTTTAACCAACACTTTAACTGGAATATTGTATAGCTATGTACTATAAATCATCATAATCTGTTGTGTTTTTTTTACTGTTAGGTCATACAGATCCTGTTATTTAAGGTCATTCATAACCATTTGGCCTATAAAACTTATTAATAAGCTGTTACTTATTAATAAGCTGTTAGGTATGTGCTTGTCTTTGTTCAAGTTGTGAATTTGGGCATGTACAATATAGCCCTTCCCAGATAAGTGCATATATTGTTGTTTGTTTACCCATTCATGTATTCATTTGTACAATAAAGTTTACTAATCAAGGAAATAATAAACATTTGTCTAGAGTAGGGGTGTCGAACTCAATCAGAGAAGGGGCCAAAATCTAAAATCCAGCCTAAATCGCGGGCCGAATGGTTTACTGAACAGTCATAAACTGTCATTGTGATGGAAACGCAGCGGAATGCAGTGATGACAGCGCGGTGCGGGCCACATTGCAAGGCCTGGCGGGATGGATTTGGCCCGCGGGCCTTGTGTTTGACACATGTGGTCTAGAGCCTATTTTATTTCAGTGTGATAGCGCTGAAATACTTTAGTTTGTTGCTCCATGGAATTTACATTCTAGTTTGGGGAAATAGAGAATAAGTGCAATAGTTTGCAGTAGATTGTGTTCATTGTAATAATTAAAGTATGAGGTACGATATTTCAGCAATACAAGTTAAGTTTTTATATATAAATATGTAATTCTTTTTCTAGACCAGTGGTCCCCAACCTTTTTTTGGCCATGCCCCATCTAACTATCTCTAAAATCCTGATGCCCTCCCTGTTATATAAAATTCTTATTCAAAAAGTCTGTTCACTTGTTAAAAACCTAAAAGGCCATTAACTTGTTCTAAACAAGCTTCCAGAGAACATGGCATCCATGAAAGAGAAAAATAAAAGAATGAAAGGACAGTTGGAAGTACTGAGGAAGAAATCACTGAGAAATAGTTAAAAAAACAAACAAACATGAAGTGATATGAAAAAATAGCAAATAAAGTTTCAAAACATAATAGAGAACTGAAATGCACAAATATGTCACAATATATATTTATATTCTGTATGTGAGGCTCCTAGAACCATAAGAAATGCAAAAAATGTACTGTTAATAACTCATTCTTGAATTGCTTCCCTTAAAAAGCAAATTGTCCTCTTTTGGGGCATGTGCCCTACGTTGGGAACCACTGTTCTAGACTGATTTTAGTCTTTGACTCTGTGCCTCTAACTCAGAAAACTGGGGAACGTTCTTAGATGATGTTCGAAATGTTGTGGGATATTTTTTGTTGTCATAGTAACTGCTGTTGCTGCTAGCATTTAGTAATCTGGGACCAGGGCTTCTAACCATCCTGTGGTAATAAATGGGGCAGTGCTGTCTAGTGGAGAATTGGCCCACCCAAAATGCCACGTGCATTTGTTGAGAAACACTGACTAACCTGGTTCATGGGAGGCAAATTCTGGTACTTTGAAATCCAGGATTACTAATCATTGCTTAGTGCTTCAGATCTCTTCTGCTTATTTTTTTCTATTAGATTTAGGTACTAATTTAAATACTTATTCTATTGACCTGAGTATTTTTATTACATCATAGTCTTTGTCTTTTTGAGAATGGGGCCAGTGTTTCCAGGTGTGTTTTGTTTTTTTGTTAAATCAATTTTGTGTTGTGGTGTATGTGACATTCGATTTTCACATAGTTCTCTGGCCTAGGTGATTCTACAGAAATGCATCCTCTACCTGTGTCTCATTTCCTCTCCATTCTAGGTAGTTCTTGGCAAGTCATCTACTTTTCTAACTTCTGTGCCTTTTTCTAATCCCATTGGAAACATAAAGGATCCACCCCACCCTCTTGTTAGGCCCATGAGGTATTGGGAAGGATAGATATTCTTGAGTCTTTCTGTTTAACTGCATTATGCTGCTCCCTACCTTAGTTTTTTAAAAAGATATCTTTGTGGGATTCTTTTTGTATCATTTTCTTTTCTTCATTTTTGCTTGTGGTTATTTTGCCAAAGCACAAGTCCTCTTTTCACTTCTAAAAGTTCCCAACTGTATTAGTTTCCTAAGGCTGCTGTACAGGATACCACTAACTGAGTGTCTAAACAACCAAAATTTATTGTGTTACAATTCCATAGGGTAGAAGTCTGACATTGAGGTAATGATAGAGTTAGTTCCTTCTGAGGGCTGTGAAGGAAGGATCTGTTCCATGTGTTTCTGCTTGACATGTAGATGGCTGTCTTTATATTCATGTTATTCTCTCTGTATATGTGTATTGTGTCCAACTTTTTCCTATTATAAGGTAACCAGTCATATTGGATTAGGAGCCCACCCTAAGACCTCATTTTAATTTGATTACCTCTGTAAAGACCCTGTCTCCAAATGAGGTCACATTCTGAAGAATTGGGGATTAAGACTTCAACATATTTATTTGGTGCAGGCACAATGCAACTTGTAACATCAACTTAATATTATTTTTCTTTCATACTTTTAAATACAGAAGACAATCTCAAAATAAATATCCCAATCTAACATCTAAAAATTACATAAAATATAAAAAGTGAAAGAAAAAGGCCCTATTTCTATCCACTGTCATACTCCAGCTTATTTTACTTTTCCATGTTAGTCAGTACAAACAGAACTATCTCATTCTTTTTATAGCCTGAGTAGTACAAACAGAATTATCTCATTCTTTTATACAGGCTGAATTCCATTTTATGATTATACTCAGTTTAATTGTTCCAGTATAGTTTGGGTTATTTATAACTTTTGGTTATATAGATAATTTTTGTGTACATCTCTTTATACATGTAGAAGTTCTTAGTAGGCCATATCTTTAAAATTGCATATGTTGGGTCAAAAGGAATGAACACTTAAACAATTTAGAGATATTGTTAAATTAACATACCAATTTATACAATCACTAGCAGGATATGAGAGAAAGATATAGTTTATCTTTTCTTTGTACCCTCATCACTACTGGATAATATCAGGTTTTTTAAAAAAAATCTTTGCTTGTACAGTAGGAAAAAATACGTCATTTAAAAATGTTTATTGTCATGAGTGATACTTAATATGTCTATATCTGTTGACCATTTAATATATTTTTCTGGAATTTACTTGTGTGAGTTCTTTGCATCTTTTCCCTTAAAGCTATGTGTATTTTTATTAGTTTATTGAAGCTTTTAATATATAATGAATCTTAGCTCTTTGTAATATATGGCACAAATATATATATATTTTATATTTTATTGATTTTTTTACAGAGAGGAAGGGAGAGATATAGAGAGCTAGAAACGTCGATGAGAGAGAAACATCGACCAGCTGCCTCTTGCACACCCCCTACTGGGAATGTGCCTGCAACTCAGGTACATACCCTTGACCGGAATCGAACCTGGGACCTTTCAGTCCGCAGACCGACACTCTACCACTGAGCCAAACCGGTTTCTGCATGGCACAAATATTTTATCCAGTCTATTATTTTATTTTTTGATGCTATTATTAATGGATTTGTTTTTATAATTTCCTTTTCAGCTTGTTCATTATTAGTATATAGAAATGCAACTGATTTTTTTGTTGTTGTTGGACATACGTTTTAATTTCTATTATACATATATTTAGGAATATAAATGCTGGGTCATGGAATATGAATATATTCAGATATTATGGATACCAATCCATAATGGTCATACCAATTTACACTCCTGCCATTAATACATGAGAATTTCAATTGCTCCATATCCTTATTAATACATACTTGGTAATTTTTTTTTTATTTTAATCATTATACTGGTGTGTGATAGTTTTAATTTGAATTTCCCTAATGACAAATGATTTCAAGCATCTTTTTGTGAATTTATTGGCCATTCAAATATCCTCTTTTGTGATGTATTTGTTCAAGTTTGTTTATTTTTATTTTTTTCTTTATTGATTAAGGTATTACATATGTGTCCTTCTCCACATTGGACACATTTATCCCCCCTCCCCCAATCTCCCCACTCATGCTCTCACCCCTCTGGTGTCTGTGTCCATTGGTTAGGCTTATATGCATGCATACAAGTCTTTCCAGACGTTCGACTTCCTTCCGGACAAAGCTATGGTGATGGGGGCCAAGACAGAGGCAGGAGTGGTCAGGCTGACAGGTGGGGGTGAGATCAGGCCGGCAGAGGAGGGCAGTTGGAGGTGATCAGGCCGGCAGAGGCAGTTAGGGGCGATCAGGCAGGCAGGTGAGTGGTTAGGAGCCAGTCCCGGATTGTGAGGGGGATGTCCCCCAAGGAGGGGTGCAGATTGGAGAAGGTGCAGGCCAGGCTGAGGACCCCTCCCCCTCCATGCGTGAATTTCATGCACCAGGCCTCTAGTAGATACATATTGGCCATAAAAACTATTAGTAGAGTTTACTCTATTGAGAACAGCTTTCTGCTTGTAGGAAGCTTTCTGGGATATGTAACTAATGAGTTCTGAAGAAAATAAATCTCCACAGGGAGCTAAGGAGATTCTTTTGCCTGGTGTGGAACGGAAAAAGAAGTAAGATTATCAAGAGTCAAGCCTGGAAGGTGAAATAAGGTGCTAGATATGATTATTATTCCTCACATAAGGGTAGTAAAAAACAGAAGTTAAAACCCAGAATTCCTAATCTTCATTTATTTCACCCTGCTATGTTACCTTTCCAAATAGAAATAGCATATGTAACTATTTTTAGATTTTTATTTTTAAGCCAAAATTCACTTTCCTTATTTCTGGCAGACGTGTAATCTCACACTCTTGCTTTTGAATTGGGTCTTGTGCTCAACTGCATTTTCCTTTTATGTTTTTAGTGTTGTAATAAGGTTTCCTATTAGTCACTGTTGGTCAGTACTGGTTTACTCCCTTTCTACAGTGATCCTAAATAAATTTATTATGTTTTTTCCTACAGGTTTTCTGTGCTTCCTGCTGTAGCCTGAAATGTAAATTGTTGTACATGGATAGAAAGGAAGCTAGAGTATGTGTAATCTGCCACTCAGTGCTAATGAATGGTAAGTATTAAAACAGATTTAATTCACAGTTATTGAGAACAAGAGAATTTTTGTTGTCTTTCTCTACATGTTGTTTAGCTTCTGAAATGTCATAACTTTAATTGAAAATATTGAGCTAAATTTCCATGTTTTAAAAATACTTTAGCATTTCAGAATTCCTGTGCCTAATGTAATGAATGAATGCTAAGATCAGGTAAGTTTTGCAGAAAGAATGGAAGTTCTTGTGAAAATCTGGTGCTAAATGGCTATTAATATTCCGTGAAATGATTGGAGTGGGATAGGGGTAGAGGACTCTTGACCACTTAGATGTGAAATACTAAAATTGGACTGAGGTTTTCCTTTCAAGGGAAGCTATCTCTTTCTAGGAAATAACTTAATAACTTATTAACATCTTGTTTCATTCACCTTGTTAAAAATAAACTTTTTAGCTTCTAGGATCAAATATTGAATAGAAAATTGTATTTCTGTATTATCTCCTTAATACTACTTAGATTTGTTATAGATAATGGTTTTGAGTTTAGTTATATGGTAAAATATATATGGACAGGAGAAGATAAATATAGCTTATCCAGTGTTCCTTTGTTGCAGGATTGGAAATGAACCTAAGGCATTTTAGTTAAACAAACAAACAAAAGCCACTGGAGTATTCTCTTAAAGAGATATATAATTGATTAGGCTATAGTATTTTCCTCTTTGAGTGCATCTTTGTACAGTTGTCAAAACAATTACTAATAGACATAAAATGTTGAACTTGGATACCACTGCTGCCTGTGCCAGGGTGGTGTGCCTCCTGGAAGCCAAAACTTACCTGCTCGAGTCCCCTCTTGCTCTGTCTGTCTGTGTTGCTCATAGTGATGTTTCCATGTTGCTGGCTTATTAACATATTGCATGTCAGTTAATCTGATCTGTTCTAATCTCCTATGAGCTACCCAATTTCCTCCCATTTCTGAATTCTTATAATTTTGATCAAATATGAATTCATTCTCTTTACTCTTAAAGGTCATTTTTTAAATGGTTATTTCACTCTGTTGCTCAGTTGGTAATTTTGATTCTTGCTTTCATTTTCGGACATATATCCACAGTTAAGAGCATGCTGCTTAATTACAGTACCCAATACCACTTGTATTTGATGAGGTCTTTCAACTTGATAGCTTTTTTCTTTTTTAATTTGGCAAAGCTAAAGATGAAGGAAATGGCAGAGGATTCATATGGACTACTTACTTTTATTTAGCAAAGATGCCCTTAATGGGATCCTAAAATAAAATAATTTACTTTTCCTGATTTTTCCAGTATCTTTTTTCTCGCATGGCTTAGCCCAGTCTTTTACGGAATATTTAATTTGATGCTTTTCAATGTTCCCTGTCCCTTTTTCCTTTTTTCTTCCCTTCTTTCTGCTTTCAAAGGAACATAACTGTTGTTTCCAGCCTTGTCCTGCAGTTTGGAGGCAATAACTATTCAGAATCTTATGGATCATTCTTGGACATTGAATGAGATTTTTAAAAAGATGTTAAAAAAAAAATTGGGTGGTGTCTATTCCTGGGCATGTGATATAACCTGAACCTGGAATATAAAATTTGAAATCTTTCACTTCTGTAGCATCTTTCATCCTACTTACTTTAAAGTCGATATCTCAGTATTTAAATTATAGACTGATAAAATACAGTATTTTAACATACTGTGAGCATTTATATTTATTGATGACACTTATAGGATATTGGCACATTTTCATGTTCAAATGGAAACTATGCTCTTGAGACACACCAAAGATGTGAAATGGTTGTTTTTGCTGGATGCTTTTATTCAGGGTGATGATTGCACAAAAGCAGAATCCACATAAGTGTTGAGATGCATTCACCTGAGCTTTAGGCTTCAGAATTTTTTAAATGAGATTTTACCTTAACTAAGAGAAGAACCTAAAAGTCTAGAGATGACAAAGAAAATATTATACAAATGGAGGCATGTTATTTTAGCCCCTGATTTTTATTTTTGCTAGAACTTTATAAAATGTATTGAACATTAAACCTTCCCACCCTACCTCCAGATGCCTAAGTGCTATCCCCGTTGCAAATCCTTAATAAGTTTGATGTTGTTTCACTCCCTCTTAAGGGAATGTGTGGTCTTCTTTACAGAAGCCAGGGACCTAGTCATTAACCTCAGACTGACCTATCAGTCTGTATAGAAGTATCATGCAATTCTTATTTCTTGCTTCCAAATAGCTTACTTAACTAAATGATCTCCTTTATTGACTAAACTTACTTATCTCCTTAATACTACTTCACTGGCCAGCTAGAAGAGAGACATACTATGAGTGTTAATGAGGAGGAGCTACATTATTTATCCAATATTTGGAGGTCTTGATGTCCATATTTTGCAATCCATTCACATTGATTGTGTCTGTATTTGCTTTAGCTCAAGCCTGGGAGAACATGATGAGTGCCTCAAGCCAGAGCCCTAACCCTAACAATCCTGCTGAATACTGTTCTACTATCCCTCCCTTGCAGCAAGCTCAGGCCTCAGGAGCCCTGAGCTCTCCACCTCCCACTGTGATGGTACCTGTGGGAGTTTTAAAGCACCCTGGAGCAGAAGGTAGGGGATCATGTGCTGTTCTCTCTTTTTCCTCACCAAGTTCCTCTGAAAAGGTGCTGATATGACTTTACAGCACAAGTCTTTATAGATAAGTCCCTTTGGATGGTTATTAAAATGGAAGAACAAGGTGAGAAATGTGTTGAGACTATTTCCGGGCAAGTAAAGAATAATATTGTGTTGTCTATTTTGGAGGCATCTCTAAAATATGTCAGTGTTCTCTTTAATTTTAGAATGGAGCAATTACATTGCTTATATTTGAAAAGAGATGCAGATTTTGAAGTTTGCCTGTAAAATCTTAACCTCATGCCTACTTTAATGTTCTTTTATAGGAGTTACTAAGTGATGAAAATGAGAGTTCTTCCTTCTGACCAGCCCATTACTTTTTGACATATACAGAGCCATTTTCTCTTCATTTTTAATCTATTCATATAAAAATATGGAAATATTGTGTTAGGTACATAGATCTTTATAAAATTCAGAACTTTAATTCTGATTATATCATATGGTAGATAGGAAATTATAGGCTAAACTTATTTTAATTATATCTTTATAATATTGTCAGATGAAAGGCACTTTGTAAATTTAGGGGATTGATTATCAGTAGTAAAAGTAAAAATTTTATATTTCCTTAAAATGATTTTATTAGGAAGTTTCCCTTGATAATTAAAATCAATCTTCTTACATTAATTTATTTTTGTCTAGTAGTATTCCCTTCCCCTTGCTATTCCCTTCCTCTTGCTATTGCCCTTCTCCCCTTTTGAAGAACAAAGACTTCTATTGACATTATCATACTCTTCCCCATTTTCCCCTTTCTTCAGATCATCCCTTAATGACACACTGTATTTTTATGAGTTCAGGTTTTCTGTCTTAAAACCTTTATTCTCTTTACTTCATTTGTCATTTTTGTTGTTCTCTTATCTCTCTTTGTTTTTGCTCTTTGAATTGATTTCCAAAACTGGATTTAAAAATATTATTTCATCAGATTCAGTTTTCCAGCTTTCTCTTGTTCTTTTAATAAAATGCCAACTACTTTTTCACTTCCAGATAAGTCTTTTTCTCCTTCAGTTACACTTCGGCCGAAGTTCTAGTCAGTTTGCTTCCCAATGCCTACATGTCTGAGCCAATTCTTCCTTTTTAATTAATAATTCTTCAAGATTCTTCAGGGCATCTTTTGCCCTTTAAAAAAACCATAGCACTTTTCCAGATATTTAATTCCTATGGAACCTCATCTTTTTAGGAGATGTGGATGTCCTCTGCTAGATATTTCCCCCTGCTATTTATTTCCTAGGCACTTAAAACATTTCTTTAGTTTCTCTTTTAGTGTCATGGGACAGAGTATATTATACAATAATAGGTGTGTTTAAGAATTCTTTATATTTTAAACCAAAGTGTTTTAAATCTTTGCATATAAGTTATAGAAGTAAAATATACTTAAATATGTATTTTATTAATTTATATCCACTTTTACACACAGTTACAGTTCTGATATTTCTAATTATAAGATGCTAAATAAATGATTTTTATTTTATTTTTTTGCATCTGGAATTGGTGACCTTCTCTTCTTTGATGTTAGAAACCCTACTGATGTCACATTGATGCCTCTTATTTTTCTGGTTCCTTAAGTGGCTCAGCCCAGAGAGCAGAGGCGAGTTTGGTTTGCTGATGGGATCTTGCCTAATGGAGAAGTTGCTGACGCAGCCAAATTAACAATGAATGGAACTTCCTCTGCAGGGACCCTGGCTGTGTCACATGACCCAGTCAAGCCAGTGACTACCAGTCCTTTGCCAGCAGAGGTAAGAAAACAAAATGGTAACTAAAAGTGAGTGCTTACTTTCCTTAGCATGTGCTGCCTCTATCTTGCTTTTTTCTCAGTTGAGTGACCTTTCTGTGGATACAGTTTAGTGCATGTGTATGTATTTTTAGGGGTACAGTATACTAGTACTAGTCATAATTTTGGGACTAATGGAATTCTCTTTCCTTGGCCCCTCATTTTCAGAAGGGGACAAATAGTAACTATTTTTTCTGGACTCAGTGAGAAAATAAGAGTCACCTTGGATCAAAATGAGCAATTGTACTTCTATATAGTGGTATCCTTTGTATTGCTCATTGTTTCCTTGAATTTGGTCGTCAAAGCTATAATACAGCTTATGTTAATTTCACCTAAGTATATGTGTCCATTTAAAAAAAATGTAATACAAGAGGATCAAATTTAGATAAAGTTTTTTACTCTTGAAGTTTTCATAGAGTTGTTAGTTACTATTTATATTTATGATCAATGATTTTTTTCAGGGGTTTACATAATTTATGAATTTTATTTTAGCTGAAATTGCATGTTATTAATATTAGATTTATTGACATACAGAGCTAAATTTCCTGTTTGGTGAAGGAACATTAAATCATGTCATATCTGTCTTCAAATATTTCTGTCTTTTTTCCCTGCTAAGGCTACAAAGGGTTCCAGCCAGAACTCTTATTCTTCCCTGAATTTTTATAATCACTTTAAAGAAGGTTCCTTCTTTTTCCTTCACTTGTTTGTTTGGAAAATTTTCAAATTCACAGAAAAGTTGCAAGAATAGTACAGTGAACACCCATATACTCTTCACTTATATTTACTAATTGTTCACATTTTGCCATATTTGCTTTACCTTTGCTTTACCCTTACACACACACACACACACACAGTTATTTTTTTGATGAACCATTTGAGGATTATTTGTACTTCATTGCTTAAGAACAAGCTATTTTCTTTCATAAGCAGAATATAATTATCATATGAGAAAGAAATTTAACATATAATCCTATTATCTAATATATAGTCCATATTCAGATTTGCTCAATTGCCCCTCAGCCCAGCCTCTCGGGGGATGTTCGACTGCCAGTTTAGGCTCTATCCCCTAAAACAGCAGTTGGACATCCCTCTTGCAATCCAGGACCGCTGGTTCCCAACTGCTCACCTGCCTGCCAGCCCGATAACCCCCTAACCACTCCCCTGCCAGCCTGATCAATGTTTAACTGTTCCCTTGCCGGCCTGATTGCCCCAAACTGCCTTTCCTTGCTGGCACGATCATCCCCAACTGCCCTCCTCAGTCAGCCTGGTAACCACCAACTCCCCTCGCCTGCTGGCCTGGTCACCCCCAACTGCCCTCCCTTGCCAGCCTGATTTCCCCCAACTGCCCTTGTCTGCTGACCTGGGCCCCCGCGCAACTGCCCTCCCCTGCAGGCCTGGTCCCCCACAACTGGCCTCCCCTGCTAGCCTGGTTGCTCCTAATTGCCCTTCCTTCCCTGCTGGTCTGGTCGCCCCTAACCGCCCTCCCCTGCTGGCCTAATTGCCCACAACTGCCCTCCCTTGTTGTCTATCTTGTGGTGACCATCTTTGACCACATGAGGGCGGCCATCCTGTGCGAGGGCGTGAAGGTCAATTTGCATATTATATCTTTATATCTATACTAACATGCGAATTGACCGTACCTCTGCCATGCCCCACATGCCACACGCACAAGCCAATCAGGAGTGAGTTTGAAAATTAACTCAACCAATATGGCTGCAGCTACAGAGTGAGCAGGAGGCTTGGGTTTCCCTGGCAAATGAGGAAGCCAAGCTTCCTGCCTGCCCTGGCTGGCCCTGGCCTCTGCTCATGGCTACAAAGTTTCAATTATAGAAGATAAATAAATCCCAACAAAAATGGCGGCAGCCACGGATCTGGAGAAAGCCAGGAGGCTTGGGTTGCCCCCAGTGATGGAGGAAGCCAAGCTTCCCACCTGCCCTGGCCAGCCCTGCACTCTGCTCAAGGCTACAAAGTTTCAAGTATAGAAGATAAATAGCAGGGCCTCCGCTTGGGTCACCAGGGGCCGTGGCTAGCTTGCAAACCACCACAGGCCCCTTGCCCAGGCTGCTCCACGCCCCAAGGTAACCCCTACCCTGATCTGGAACACACTTTTAAAAATATATATATATTTTATTGATTTTACACAGAGAGGAATTGAGAGTGCTAGAGAGTTAGAAACATCGATGATAGAGAAACATCAACCAGCTGCCTCTTGTGCACCCCCAACTGGGGATGTATCCGCAACCAAGGTATGTGCTCTTGACCAGAATCGAGCCCAGGACCCTTCAGTTCTGCAGGCCGACGCTTTATCCACTGAGCCAAACCGGTTTCGGCTGGGATACTTTAGGGAGAACCAGCCGGACCCCATTCGTGCACCAGGGCTCTATCCTATCTAATAAGAGTAATATGCAAATTGACTGTCACTCCAACATACAAGATGGCTGCCCCCATGTGGACACAAGATGGCCGCCACAAGATGGCCAGCAGGGGAGAGCATTTGGGAGGGACCAGGCCTGCAAGGGAGGGCAGTTGTGGGTGATCAGGCCAGCAGGAGAGGGCAGTTGGGAGGGACCAGGCCTGCAAGTGAGGGCAGTTGAGTATGATCAAGCCTGCAGGAGAAGGCATTTAGCGGTGATCAGGCCAGCAGAGGAGAGAAGTTGGGGGCAACTGGGTCTGCGGGGAAGGGCAGTTGGGAGGGGGACCCAGACCTGCAGGGGAGAGCAGTTGGGGGGGACCAGGCCTGCAGGGGAGGGCAGTTAGGGGCAGTCAGGCTGGCAGGGGAGCAGTTAGGCATCAATCAGTCTGGCAGGGGAGTGATTAGGGGGTGAACAGGCTGGCAGGCAGAAGTGGTTCAGGACAATTAGGAAGGCAGGTAGGAGAGCAGTTGGGAGCCAGCAGTCCTGGATTGTGAGAGGGATGTCCGACTGCCTGTTTAGGCCCGATCCTACTGGTTTAAAATAAAGGGGTCTCAGATTGGAGAGGGTGCAGGCTGGGCTGAGGGACACCCCCCATGCACGAATTTCATGCACTGGGCCTCTGGTATAGGATAAAATCTTAAAAAAAATTAGGATCCCATCAAGGATCACAGTTGCATTTAGTTGTCATGTTTCTTTGGTTTTCTTTACTTTAGAACAGTTATGCCACTTTTAAAATTTGCTTTTCATTTTACTGTGTTTAAGTAGACCAATGCAGCACTAACCAGGATTATTTAATCAAGTATATTTTCTTCTTTTTAAAAAAAAATATATTTTATTGATTTTGTACAGAGAGGAAGGGAGAGAGATAGAGAGATAGTTAGAAACATTGATGAGAGAGAGTCATCGATCAGCTGCCTCTTGCACACCCCCTATTGGGGATATGCCCACAACCAAGGTACATGCCCTTGACCGGAATCGAACCTGGGACCTTTTAGTCCCCAAGCCAACGCTCTATCCATTGAGCCAAACCGGTCCTGGCTGGATGTCTTTTATTTTTATTTTTTTCTTGTCTAATTGTTCTGGTTAACATAAAAAAAGATTGTTTTAAATATATTTTATTGATTTTTCACAGAGAGGAAGGGAGAGGGATAGAGAACTAGAAACGTGGATGAGAGAGAAACATCGACAAGTTGCCTCTTGCACACCCCCTACTGGGGATGTGCCCACAACCAAGGTACATGCCCTTGACCGGAATTGAACCTGGGACCTTTCAGTCCGCAGGCCGATGCTCTATCCACTGAGCCAAACTGGTTTCGCAACATAAAATTTTTTTTTAATGAAAGGAAGCTCTAGTGTAGGGGTGTCGAACTCAATCAGAGAAGGGGCTGAAATCTAAAATCCAGCCTAAATCACGGGCCGAATGGTTTACTGAACAGTCATAAACTGTCATTGTGATGGAAACGCAGCGGAGTGCAGTGATAACAGCGCAGTGCGGGCCACATTGCAAGGCCTGGTGGGACGGATTTGGCCCTCGGGCCTTGTGTTTGACACATGTGCTCTAGTGGATACATGTTGTTGAGAAACAAGGTATAGGTCAGTTTAAGAGAAACTAAACCAAGTTAGTTATTTTATTTCTGTGGTCTCACATTGTTCACTCTATTGCATTTTTATTATATCTAGCATAACCATATTAATGCAAAGAACAATTAAGTTTTATTTCATGGCATAATAAATGAAAATGAAGACTTATTTTATTTATTTTATAAATATATTTTTATTTCAGAGAGGAAGAGAGAGAGCTAGAGAGATAGAAACATCAATGATGAAAGAGAATCATTGATTGGCTGCCTCCTTCATGTACCCTACTGGGGGTGATTGAGCCTGCAACCCAGGCATGTGCCCCCAGCCAGAATCAAACCTGGGACTCTTCAGTCTGCAGGCCAACGCTCTATCCACTAAGGCAAACCAGCTAGAGCAATGATTTTAATCTTTATATGTTATCACAATTAATTTTTTTTTAATTGTGGTAAAATCTTACCTAATAATAGACAAACATGTAAATTGACTATACCTCTGCTACGCTCACAGCTAATCAGGAGTAAGTATGCACATTAATCTGACAAAGATGGCGGGTTAATTTGCATATGCAGATGTGGTGTGGCCACATGGAGCAGGACACCTGCTATGAGGGGAAGTGGGGGACAGAGGGAGCTACAGGAGCAGTGCTGTGGCTGGGAGCCAGGACTTGCCAGCTCCCGGGCCACCTGGGATCAGGGACTTGGTGGCTCCCAGGCGGCCCGGGAGCGAAGCCAGGGGAAGGAAGCATGAATATTGTGCAATGGGCCTCTAGTGTATGTGTGTGTGTGTGTGTGTGTGTGTGTATATAACATAAAATTTACCATTTTAACCAGTTTTAAGTGTACAACCCATGGCATTAAGTACTTCCATATTGCTGTACAACTATCACCACTGTTTTCAAAGTTATTTTCAAAAAGCAGTATAAATGAGACTTTAAGAAACCAAATACATTAAAAGTTAAGAAATTATGAGATAACATTGAATTTTGTGTTTGTTTACATTGCTAATTTTAAATATATATATGTTTTTTATGGCAAAAGAAACTTGGGTAAAAGGAAGCTTCACCTCTTCTCTCATTACTATGATTTGATGATGCCAAAAGGAAAGACTGTACAGCTGGGAACAATTTCATAGTATTAGCCCAGTCTTCTGGGAAACCATAGATTAATGAGTATGAAAAAATTATGAATTCCAAATTTTCACTTCAATTCTCATTTATATTCTTGATTATATTTTTCAAAGTCTTAAACATCTCTATAATGCTCACTTTGCTCATTTGCTTTTCCTAGACAGATATTTCTCTGTTCTCCGGGAATATAACTCAGGTTGGAAGTCCTGTTGGGAGTGCAATGAACCTTATTCCTGAAGATGGTCTTCCTCCCATTCTCATCTCTACTGGCGTAAAAGGAGGTTTGTGTACTAACATATTGCCTTCTAATTAAAGGAAGGTGATAACCACCCTTCTCTAACAAAAAAATCAACTACTCAATACCGTGAAATTAATTGTTGCTGTTACTGGTTGTTTTAGAGTAGACATCTATGCTTTTAGCCTTGCACACAAATCCGTGCGCCGAATAGATTGCCAGTAGCTCGCTGCCACCCTCCAGTAGCTCTCTGCCTGCTTCCCCACCCTCCTGTGTCTCCCCCGGACCCTCTCCCTCCACCCCTCCCCAATAGCTTGTTGTCTCTCCCTTCCTGTAGCTCTCTGCTGCCTGCTTGTATCTCGCTGCCCCACCCTCCTGCTGATCTGTGATCCCGTCATTATGCCATCGGTCGTTATGCTTCATGGTGAAATGACCATTTGCATCTTTATTATATAAGGTGTCATTTCATTTATTGGAAGGATATATTTTTAATTTTAGTGTAAATGTAGTTGATTGGCAGGTTTTAAAAATAATTGTGTATTTTAAATATGTTTTTATTGATTTCAAAGAAAAGAAAAGGTAGAGGGAAAGAGAGGTGGAAACATCAATGATGAGAGAGAATCATTGACAGGCTGCCTCCTGCATGTCCCCTACTGGGGATCAAGCCTGTTACCTGGATATGTGCCCTGACTGGGAATCAAACAGGTGATCTCTTACTGGTTCATAAGTCAACATTTTACTACTGAGCCACACCAGCGGGCTGAAAATATTTTAAAGTATATAATACTCTAAAGTGTTTCTTGTGGTCCTATAGTTGGCCCACCTGATACATCAGTACATTAATTTAACTTTTTGTTTTGAAGTGTAATATACATTCAGAATCTATAATAATAAAAGCATAATAATGCTGATTAGACCCGACAGCCAAACAACCTTCTGGAGTAAAAGGGTTGTTTTTAGATTTGCCACAAACCATTTTGTGGAGCAATCTCTACGTAGGATAACCATGTTGTCCTCCAAATTGGACTGGGTCACTTTTGAGAGTGAAAGGGGGCACTGTTAATGATCCTGACCTAGCAGGCACAGACCTCTATTCTCTCTACCTGTAAACCAAATACTCTCTCTTTCCTTTGCATAATCAGCCTGTTCTTCCATCAGATTTTTTTCTGTGTTTGTCCATTTAGCCAGTCTCTTACATTGTTGTTGTGTGTTTTTTTCTCCCTTTACAGACTATGCTGTGGAAGAGAAACCATCACAGATTTCAGTGATGCAACAGTTGGAGGATGGTGGCCCTGACCCACTTGTATTTGTTTTAAATGCGAATTTGTTGTCGATGGTTAAAATTGTAAATTGTAAGTTAAAAATTTGTTTTTCAAAATAAAAAATTAAATACTTTACTGACTCATAGATAATACATAAAACTTTCGAATTTATTACAAATATTTTTATATAGTGTCACATCTTATTGACCACTGGGTACTGAAGAAGTTGGTTTGTATAAAATACTAATATATCCCAGAGGACAGTTGTGGGACTAACAGAAACTCTTGCTTTTGGTCATAGGGGTGAGATAGGTGAATTCTCTATGAATGAAAGCGAAAGAAAACTTGAACTGATCTGAGTTAGTTTCTTCCTGAAATTAGTATGTTATGTCACAATTTACCACCAGGATAACCAGTGGTGAGTTTATTATCCAGGAGGGTAAAAAAATTACATGCCAGATTTAAATCTCAGAAATCTTAATAATGATGCAAAACTCGTTTGGGAGAAGTATTATTTAGCTAACACGTAGTGAAGCGTCAGTTCTTCTTATGATTCAGAAGAAACTTCTAAATGCTTGGTTCCTTGTTGGGCATCAGAATGAGAGACAAGACAGTAACTTAAAATCCTGATTTTAAGATGATATTGGAAAATAGATAATACATTTCTCTTGCATGAATATTAATAGGCACAGTTTTGGAGAGAGGAAGGAAGCACTTTAGAACAGTCCTCTAGTTCCCACTGTGAGCTTGTTTTAAATTGATCTTAGAAATGAGAAACATCTATTTCCTTAGAGGTTCTACATTGATAAAATGCAGTTTTCTAGTTTACTTCCTAGACAAACCTTTGCATGTTTGACCATTTATGAAATGCTGGTCATCTTTCCTTCTAGGATCAATTTTAAAATAATTTGCTCATTGGGTGGTGAAGACACAATACAATATACAGTGATATATTATAGAATTGTACCCCTGAAACCTATATAATTTTAATAACCAATTGTCACCCCAATAAATTAAATTTAAAAAATAAAGTAACTTGGTCAAAATTTCAGTTTGTCATATCTAGCTTATAAGTTACACTTAGAAAATAATTAACCTAGACTTCTTTATTTTGTTTTGTTTTGTTAATCCTCACCCAAGGATATTTTTCCATTGATTTTTAGAGACAGTGGAAGGGAGGGGGAGAGACATAGAGAAAAATAGATGTGAGAGAGATACATCAATTGGTTGCCTCCTGCACATGCACCCACCTGCTGGGGATTGAGTCTGCCTTGACTGGAATTGAACCTGGGACCCTTAGTCCACAGCCCAATGGTTTATCCATTGAGCCAAATCAGCTAGGGCTAACCTAGAATTCCTTTAAAAAAATATTTTTTATTGATTTCAGAGAGAAAGGGAGAGGGAGAGAAAGAAATATCAATGATGAGAGAGAATCATTGATTGGCTGCCTCCTGTACGCCCTCTACTGAGGATAGAGCCTGCAACCTGGGCATGTGCCCTTGACCGGAATTAAACCCGGGACCCTTCAGTCCCAGGCCTGTGCTCTTATCTATTGAACCAAAATAGCTCACCATCTGTTTAGGTATATAAATTAACAATTGTCAAAGTGAAAATTAGTTTGATTTACATTGTGATATTTATAATGTTATTAGAATCCTTTTTCATTTCCTTTTGGAATCCCACTATGTTGGAATACAAATGATAAAAGTGCCAAGGAGTGACATTTTAAACTACATTTTAAAGTATATATGGCTTATGCTATTAAGACTCCACAGAGCCTTAGAGTGAAGAAGTGGAAGTAGTCCAGAAAAGCCATCTTTTTCATCACTTTTTACATCATGAAGCCAAATAAAGTCATGTTGTTGAGGATCTAGAATTTTCTTGCAGAAAGGACTATAATTAGAATATCTAGAATCTTTTAGTCATAGACTAATGTACACATAAAAGAAATATTTTTTAGGCCACAACCTGAATTCAAAGCTGTAAGATTGGCTTTTACTGTTGTTGTTTTAGGCATTACATAAGTAATTCCTATGTGAAGTGTGTGGTGGTGTTTTTTTTAAAAATAAAGATGGGAAAATAGATTTTTAAAATCATTATAGCTAAGGATGTGTAGATTGATTGTATTTATTTTATTTATAAAGGAATATTGATTCTTTTGATAATTACACTATTTTATTTTTATTTTTAAAAATATATATTTTACTGATTTTTTACAGAGAGGAAGAGAGAGGGATAGAGTTAGAAACATTGATGAGAGAGAGTCATCAATCAGCTGCCTCTTGCACACCCCCTACTGGGGATGTGCCCGCAACCAAGGTACATGCCCTTGACCGGAATCGAACCTGGGACCCTTGAGTCTGCAGGCTGATGCTCTATCCACTGAGCCAAACTAGTTTCGGCTAATTACACTATTTTAATAATAGCAATTAAAAATTTTCACTGTTTTTTTTCACTATTACTTCTTTTACTCACCTTCAAATTGTTTTTCTAAGGGTTTGCCTAGAGCAGAGGCATTGGTATATTTTATTTTCTACAGTAGTTCTTTGGCTCATTGCAGTACAAATCGCTGGTTGAATTATACAGACAGTATGATCCATTTTATTCTTTACTGTATTATAACAGATTTTTGTGCATTTCTCAAAGGTTAAGAGTTGAGAGGAATGTCTTTGTTATATTTTTATTCCATCTGTAGATGTGAACAGGAAGTGCTGGTGTTTCACAACCAAGGGAATGCATGCAGTGGGTCAGTCCGAGATCGTCATTCTTCTACAGTGTCTGCCTGATGAAAAGTGTCTGCCGAAGGATATCTTTAATCATTTTGTACAGCTTTATCGCGATGCTCTGGCAGGTGGGAATCCTTATGATTTAATCTGCACCCTTTATAGGTGATAAAACTTTTAGACACAGATGCAAAATAACTGTGTTAAATTTGGAAGCCTGGCGTTGGATGTTGATATTAGTGGCAAGTTAGACCATGTCTTGGTCTGAGGAAATTATAAATTTTAGTACTTTATCTGGTGTGTTTGTTATTTTACACAGGCTAGAATCTTCGAGTAGCTTAGGGCAGGGTTTTTCAACCTTTTTTGGGCAAAGGCACACTTGTTTCATGAAAAAAATCACGAGGCACACCACCATTAGAAAATGTTAAAAAATTTAACTCTGTGCCTATATTGACTATATATAAAGTAATTCTCTTGAATAGGAATCAAATAAACACAAAGAAAGTATTTTATAATTACTTTATTATGAAATATTAAGTAAACAAAATAGTGAAAAATTATAAAATTCTTGTCTTGTCTGCACCTACAGCACACCAGGCAACATCTGTGCCGCGGAACAGCGGTTGAAAAACGCTGGCTTAGGGATCATTATATTGATACCCAATAGAAGAAAGATAATCATAACTCACTAGTTTCTTCAGTTAACAATATTTAGATAATCATAATGTAAAAGTACTCTACATTTAATTTTCAAGTTTCAAGAGCCAAGCATGGATATCTTTATTATGGTTTCAAAATCCTATATAATAAAGAGGTAATATGCAAATTGACCCTCACACCCTCACAAAGATGGCTGCCTACCACCAGGCTGGCAGGGGGGTTAGTGAGGGCCTGGCCAGCAAGCTGCGTGAGGCAACCAGGCCAGCAGGGGGCAGGAGGGCAGTTAGGGGCGACCAGGCAGGCAGGCAAGTGAGTGATTAGGAGCCAGTGGTTCAGGATTGTAAGAGGGATATCCAACTGCTGGTTTAGGGATCGGGCCTAAACCGGCAGTCAGACATCCCCGAGGGGTCCCAGATTGAAGAGGGTGCAGGCTGGGCTGAGGAGACATCTCTCCCCCCCATTGCCCCCCCATGCATGAATTTCATGCACCAGGCCTCTAGTAAGTTATAAAAATTATTTACTGTAACAATCTAAAAGTAAATGCATAACTATTATAAACTGGAGAAGTAATCATATAGTAGCCATATTTTTAATTTTTGAGAAAACTCCATACTGTTTTTCATAGTGATTGCACCAATTTACATTTCCATCTGCACAAGAGTTCCCTTTTCTCCACATTTTCACCAATATTTGTTATTTTAAAATTGATTTTTTTAAGCTGTTGTAGGAATTCAAGAAATTATCAGGGTTTAAGTTTAGTAATGGCAATGGAAATAAAGACTGCTGAAGAGATATAAACGACAGTGATGCTTTAATTGAATAGGATTAGTTAAGTAATTAGATGTGAGGGGTGAGAGGGAACAAGTGGAAAGTTGACTTCAGATTCATTAAGTTAGTAAATAGAAGAACAAATATGGCAGCTGAAATCTTTGTTCCTTGTGTTGAATTTGAAATGATGACAACAGATGATGATATATAAATTGAAATGACCCCCCAGGAGGTAGATCTGGGAGACCTAGTGTTTATGTGAAAGTTTGAACTACAGTTCTGAACAGATAGGCCAGTATAAAGAGACTAGAGATGTGAATGGAACTCTGAGAAATACCTACAAGGAAAGGCATGAATCATTATATAAGTCATTAAAATATATTTTAGCAAGTATAGTCACTTATTTTTTAAAAGTATCCTTATATCAGTAGAGTCCATTATTATATCGAAATGCAAAAGGTCTGCAAAAAAATTACTTGGAACTGATAGTAGGATAATGGTGATAGCCTAAGGTCTGCCTACAATACATTTAAGCCATCTTAAATATATGTACATGCCCTCACCCAATATACATGTACATATATACCTAAGTAAATAACATTTCAGCAGCATAAACAAATGAGCTATAATATTCTCTTCTTGAATAGTAATCATTTCACAGCTCAGAAATAAGGGCCTAGAAAAGTATCTTAGATTATCTAGTACAACTCTAATGAAACCTGGAGGTGTTGATAGCTAAATCACAGGCCTAGTTGGTGGCAGAATTAGGTCTAAAGCTCCCTGACCAGTGTTCTTTAGTTTATGTCAGTATAGCATAAAACTGTACTATTAGTATAGCAGTTTTTAAAAACAGATGTGCAAAATATCTACGTGATATGCATGTTCTACTATGAATCCTGTTTTTAGATAATGAAGGTAGCAACTTGCTATATTATTTCACTATGATTTTTTAATAGGTGGAAACATATTTTAAATGTTCTAACATGACCCCAATTCATTATTTTTCTCCTTTGTGTAACATAGTGAGAGGAATTGGCAAATTGTATCTTAAATTTCCGCTGAGTATGAAAGCTTTGAATACTCTATTACTTCTTAGTGGTTCCTCTAACACAAATCACTAAAAAAAAACCAAACCCTTAAAAACCCTTTAACGAACTTTATAATTTAATCTGAAAGTTCATCTAAACTACATGTATTTAATAATACATGTATGCATATATGTTTCTTATTTAGTATACATATATTTGTAGTAGTTGCTTATGCTTTCCACAGTGAGGGGGAAAATTATATTTTGTGAGAAATGACATTTGAGAGTTTCAGGATGCCTTCTAATTATCATAATGCCATGGAAGATTTTTAAATTGTATATAGTAATTTTGAAGCAAGTCACTTTTTTACCTGTGACTGTTTCCTGACTAATGTGTTTCCAGGGAAAGAGGAACCTCACTGGTGTTTTCACCATCATCAGTGATTTTCTTGTATTGTTTTACCAGTTAAAGAATATTATCTTACTAGAGATCTGATGCACAAAATTCGTGCAAGAGTAGGCCTTCCTTCCCCCGGCTGCTGCACCGGCTTCCATCTGGCACCCAGGACCCGGGCTTCCCTCTGGCCCCGGCTTCATCCAGAATGGCGTCTGAAGGAAGTCTCGTCTAATTACCATATTACCCTTTTATTATTATAGATGGAACAGGTTTTTATTTTATTTTTCTAGCTAATTTTGTACCTTTTTGATAAATTACATTTATTTTATCTTTCTATGAACAGAGGAGCCAAGGTATTGATGCTTTGTAATTTTTCAACTGATGAGAAAATAATATGGAATTATTTATGAAGACATGATTTAAGTCTAATCATTAATATTTATTGAGCACTTGCTACATGATAGGCAATGTATTCATTGCTTTATGTGCACTATTCCACTTCTATTAACTATGAAGTTTATACTGTTCTTTTTCCAATTTTACATATGAGGAATCTGAAAGGCACTGAGGGCACAGTAACTTGCCCACAATCACACACACAGCTGGTAAGTGGTTGGACTCAGGTTTGAATTCAGCTGTATCTTCTCTAAATCTCATTTTTTGAACCATAAAAAGCAATAAACTACCTCTTGAGCTTTTTGAAGTTATATGGTAAATCTCACAGATTCTCTAAACTAAAGAAATGATCTTTTATGAAGTACTCATGCTTAACTGTAGTGAATTGTATAACAGAGCACTCCAAGGGACTGAATAAATTCTTTTGATGACTTGAGCTTTTTTAAGTTATATTAATGACTAAAATTTTAGTATTTCTTGAAGTAAGTGAACTATTTGTTTGGAAATTGTTCCATTTGAGTTGATGTAAAGATTGATAAATATGCTTTGAAACAAAGGAAGCTGTTATAGATATTTAAGTTGTATTTAAATTGAATTTAAAGATGGTTATTTGTGAGCACTTTGAAAAACAGTTTTAATTCCAAATTTAAGATAGAAAATTGCAAATTATATATATTTTAAAGAAATTGTGGTATATCAAAGACCAGGAGATTGAAAGATCTGCTTTTTAGATCTTATTTTGTCACTTATTTATCCAGTGTCTTTGAGAGTCACTTCACCTCTACCACTAAGCTTCAATTTGTTTATCTGTAAAATAAAACCTCCAAATTCAGAAATGGTACTAGCTCTGTTCAGCTAGTGGCACTGGTCTGATAATTACCTGAATTGCTTTGTAAATTACTTATTGTCAGATCATTTATGCTCAGAAGCAAAAGTTGTTGTCTGTTTTAATTACTATATAGATTTTTCAGTGGTCTTGGGATATGTAGAATTAGTTCAGTGGATTCATTGTATTGAATGTTTCCATTGAGAAATATTCTGTATAAATTATCAATAGTATTTAATAGATTTTATGAATTCAAGAGCCTCAGATTAAATCTTCAAATGAAAGCTTTTCTTTATCAAATTCTTATGTCCAGTGTGCTATTTTTGCTGATATCTATTACCCTTTTGATGACTGTTACCCTTTTTAAAAAAAAAATATATTTTATTGATTTTTTACAGAGAGTAAGAGAGAGGGATAGAGAATTAGAAACATCAATGAGAGTGGGGACCGTTTTGGCTCAGTGGATAGAGCGTCGGCCTGCAGACTGAAAGGTCCCAGGTTCGATTCTGGTTGAGGGCATGTACCTTGGTTGCAGGCACATCCCCATTAGGGGGTGTGCAAGAGGCAGCTGATCGATGATTCTCTCTCATCGATGTTTCTAGCTCTCTATCCCTCTCTCTTCCTCTCTATGAAAAATCAATAAAATACATTAAAAAAAAGAAAAAGAAAAGAAACATCGATGAGAGAGAATCATCGATCAGCTGCCTCTTGCACACCCCCTACTGGGGATGTGCCCACAACTAAGGTACATGCCCTTGACCGGAATCAAACCTGGGACCTTTCAGTCTGCAGGCCAACTCTCTACCCACTGAGCCAAACCAGTTTCGGCTGTTACCCTTTTTTTGATAAGGTAGTAATTAATGACAGTATAAACTAAACCACTCTTTAAAGTCTACTTAAATTTTTTTAAAGTAAGTAAATGTTTAAAGCATAAAAGATATTTTTTAATAATGGATGGGGACATACTAAAAAAACTTTCAGTGTGATGGGGGCAGAAAGGTAATTAATATCTGTGGGAAAATAACCAATAATAGATTTCAAAGGAATAATTAACAAATGCCTTGCATTTTTCACTAGGCATTCTTATGAAACATAAACATGCTGTCATTAGAGCTTTAGAAGAATGCTATTGTGTTCTCTCCATTGTGGAGGGAGGGAGAAATCTTCCATCTCTTCTTCTATCCCTCCTTCTCCCTACCCTTCCAGATAAAAAGATGAAAATTTATATAAATCTTACTCTAAAACCTTTGATAAAGCAAAGAAAATCGTGTAACGTTTGGCTGATTATATGTATATTTGCATTATAACCAATAGTTATGTTTTGAGAACACACTGTGTGCCAGGTACCGATAGACATTTTACTTATATTCTACCATTTATTCTTCCCAGCAGGTCAAAAGTTTACTATAATTTCTCCCATTTTAGCTTCTGTTGAGGCTCACAGAAGTTGAGTAGCTTACCCCCAAATCACACAATTGTGAGTGATCGAACTAGTATTCAAACTCATATCTCTGAAACTCCCAAATCTGTGGCCTTTTTTTAAAAAAATAACATACTATTTTCTTGATATGGGGAAGGGAGAGGAGGAGAGAGAGAGAAACAAATGATGAGAGAGAATCATTGATCGGCTATCTCCTGCATGCCTTCCACAGGGGATTGAGCCTGAGGCCAGGCATGTGCCCTTGACCGGAATTGAACCTGGGACCCTTCAGTCTGTAGACCAATGCTCTGCCCACTGAGCCAAATCAGCTAGGGCTGTATGGGGATAGTTTTTTATAGACCTGGTCCAAGAGTTTAAATGGGCAGCCAGTTTCGGTTAATCCTACGACAAGAGTACTTAGTACCCTAAATGATAATGATGTCCAGGTGAACATGGCTCTCATCTATAGAGTTTTTCTGAGTTTTGTGTGGGAGGTGTTCCCTTTACTTATAGACCCTACTATCAATATAACTTCCCTCTTTCATTCTATGACCCATCACTGAACTGTTCTGTGAACAAACAGACTCCAGTTTTCAAAAAAGGAAGCACTAACATTTGTGATGGGGATTTTTGTGTTTGGTCTTTCAGAGACGACAAAGGAAGCTTGCACATTCTAATGACCATATCTGCTCTTACGCTATTGAACAGTTCTTATCAGAAATTTTGTAATTCTGAACTGAGGAAAATATCATTAATGAAGGGCTGATTTGGTACTGTTTCATTTTTTAAAATTCTTAAATTAGAAGGTGCTTAATAAAGAGCATTTGCAGGTAAAAAAAAAAAAAAAGAATCCCCACCTACAATGAATTTAAGTAAGCCCTACATTGTTTACATTTCATATTTGTCTCCAAAATTAGACACAACCTTCTCTATAAATTTTCTTTCCCCCTCAGTATTAATTAATGACAGTATAAACTGTGTCTCATACATAACTTTATAGTCTTAATTCATTATGTTCATGCGTTAACTTTTTCACCCAGTGAGATTATAAGCTCTGTGAGAGCAGGTACCTAATCTTAACATATTTTCACGACCTTTGAATCAATAATTGTTATCCTAATTCACAAAAGTAAAGTTGCACCATCTAACACGGGACACCATCAGTATTTTTGGCTATATTCTATACCAAGGGTGGGGAATATCCGGCCCTCAGGCTGCATAAGGCCTGCAAAATCATTTGGTCTGGCCCTGCCAAGGCAACCACAGGCAGGACTTAAATTCAATAAATCTAGGAGCTTTTTTCATGGCAACATACATTTATATTAAGTGAATTATATTAAGCAAATAATGTTTTAAATATCCACTGGCCTTGGCAGAAAAAAGGTTCCCTACTCCTGATCTAGACAAACTTCTAAGTGATAATACAAGATCTATATACCATGCTTCCAGAAGCCCTGATAACATTGGGGGAAATTTTTTTCATTTAATAAATGCCATTTGTTTATTTAAAAACTTTCTAAACATGGCTGTTTCATGGTGAAAAGTTAGAATTAGTGTTCAGTAATGTCTGCCTAGTATTGAGTAATAATGATTACTAAAATATTATTGATTTATTAATAGAAAATAATCAATGATCTTTTTTGTTTTAGGGAATGTTGTGGGCAACTTAGGACATTCCTTCTTCAGTCAGAGTTTCCTTGGCAGTAAAGAACATGGTGGATTCTTATATGTGACATCTACTTACCAGTCACTGCAAGACCTTGTACTCCCAACCCCACCTTATTTATTTGGGATTCTCATCCAGAAATGGGAAACTCCTTGGGCTAAAGTGTTTCCTATTCGACTGATGTTGAGACTTGGAGCTGAATATCGACGTAAGTAATAACATACTTTCATCTAAAACACATGAGCAAGTCATGATGACTAAATAAAGTTCTGAAATATTTAGAGTCCCCTCACCCCTTGTGATATTGATACAATTTAGCAGAAGTATTATTTTCTTTTTATATATATATATATTTTATTGATTTTTTACAGAGAGAAAGGGAGAGAGATAGAGAGCTAGAAACGTCGATGAGAGAGAAACATTGACCAACTGCCTCTTGCACACCCCCTACAACTAATGTGCCCGCAACTAATGTACATGCTCTTGACCGGAATCGTACCTGGGACCCTTCAGTCCGCAGACCGACGCTCTACCACTGAGCCAAACTGGTTTTGGCTGAAGTAGTATTTTCAAACAGTGAAGCTAAACTTAGCCATTATCTCTACTCATTTTGCCTAGAATGGGAAGGACTGAAAAATATCAAATGTGAAAATTGGTGACTGTTACCCTCTAAACTTATTGGTTTTATAATTTATTGATAAATACATAGTCATCTTCAGAGAAAAAATGAATTTGAACTTTAGAAGTAACTATTATTACTTTTTAAACTTGAGGTATGTTTTTTATTTTATTGATTTTGTTTTAGAGGGAGAGAAAAGGAGAGAGGGAGAGAGAAACATCGATCTGTTGCCGCCCTTAAGTGTCTTGACCAGGCATCAAATCTAAAACCTGGATATGTGCCCTGACGAGGAATCAAACTTGCAATCTTTTGGTGCATGGGACAGCACTACAACCAGCTGAGCCACCCTGCCAGAGCTAACGACTTTTTATAGTGTCTATATTTGGTGGGTGTATTTTTTGTCACTTGGTTAGAAAATAGTTATGGCAAATTATATTTTATGTAACCTAACGGATACTGGCAACTAATGGCATAGAGATCACTCTCATTTGATAAGGTAAGCAACAAAAGACCTTCCTTCCCATGGTTGTAGCAGTGCAACTAAGTTATTTATTTTCTTTTTTTTAAAGACAACAGGACTAAATGCAAGCTTTATTTTAAACTTTTTATCTTCACCTAATTGAAAGCATCCTGGTTTACACCATTTGAATAGGTTCTTTTTAAAAAATATATATCTTATTGATTTTTTACAGAGAGGTAGAGAGAGGGTTAGAAACATCGATGAGAGAGAATCATCGATCAGCTGCCTCTTGCACAGTCCCTACTGGTACTGTGCCCACAACCAAGGTACATGCCCTTGACCTGAATCGAACCTGGGATCTTTCAGTCTGCAGGCCGACGCTGTATCTACTGAGCCAAACCGGTTTCGGCTTGAATAGGTTCTTAACGCTACCACTTCCTAGCTCTGTAACTTTGGTCAAATCACTCAAGTTGTCTTATTGTCAGTTTCTTTTGCAACTGGTGATAATAAGGCCTGCCTTTTATATTATATTAGAGGCCTGGTGCATGAAATTTGTGCATGGAGGGGGTCCCCCCCCCAGCTCGGCCTGCACCCTTTCGCAATCCAGGACCCCTTGGGGGATGTCCGACTGCTGGTTTAGACCCAATCTCACAGGGATCCTGCAGCCGGATCAGGACTAAACCACAAGTTAGACATCCCTCTTGCAATCTGGGACTGTTGGCTCCTAACCACCTCTTCCTGCCTGCCTGATTATCCCTAACTGCCTCTGCCTGCCTATCTGATCCCCCTAATCACTCACCTGCCTTCCTGATCCCCCCTAACCACTCACCTGCCTGCCTGATTACCCCTAAATGACTCTGCCTGCCTGCCTGATCACCACCAACCCTTCTGCCTATCTGCCTGATGACCACCAACCCCTCTGCCTACCTGCCTGAATGCCCCTAACAGCTCGTCTGCCTGCCTGATGGCCCCTAACCACTTGCCTGCCTGTTAGATCACTCCTGTCTGCCTGCCTGCCTGATCACCCTGAACCACTGGCCTGCCTACCTGATTGCCCCTAACTGCTCACCTGCCTTTCTGATCATCCCTAACCACCTCTGCCCCAGCCACTGCATCAGGGACCCAGGCTTCCCTCCTCGGCCGGCCACAGGCCAGCTTTGCTCAGATATGCACCAGATCCCAGGCCAGCTTCACCCGGGCTGGCTGCAGACACCTGGGACCCCGGGCAGCTTCTTCTGGGCTCCGGCTTTGTCAGGAAGGATGTCTGGTCTATCCGATCTAATTAACTTATTACTCTTTTAATAGTATAGGTAGTATTTTTAAGAGGATCAAATGAGATGAAAAATTATTTTATAAACCATAAAATATATATGTTTTCAGCAGGTGAACTTCATAGCTTTACTTATTTATTCATTAATTCAACAAGAAATTAATAAAGGCCTACTATGTGTCATGCATTCTGGGAATTCAGAAATGGCTAAGACCTGTTATAGGCCCTTGGAAATCTTTGTAAGGAAGACATACAGAAATCATGAGTATATTGTATTAAAACACATATTCAAGTTAACAGACTTCTATGAGAGCTCCAAGATGGGCTCTAACTTCATCAAGATGAAGGAATTAGATAAGAAATATGTCTTGGACCAAAGGCTTCTGGATTGAACTGTGAAGGAAGCATATCCATCAGCCTAGTGAAGTAGGAAAAGAAAAGGAATTTTTTGCAGCTGAGCCAGCATGTATAATTTCTTGTCTTGAGCAGACAATTCACACCATAAAGTTCAAGGAGTGAGCATCTAATAGGATCACGTGGTTTTGGCTCCCCTAAGGAGGGTCCTGGTTGGGAGATGTCTAAAGGTGAATTCTTTTAGAAGCTTGAGCACAGAGGAATCAGAAGATATATATTTCCTGGATCATATTAATCCACTTTGAAGAATAGTGCTTCCCTAAGACCTTGTGGTCATTTTTGAAACCACTGCATCAAAAGGCTTATTCAGGTCATCAAAAACGATTAGAGTATTTTGTAGAAGTCTCAGGATTTGCCTTTGATGCGACCTGCTAAATACTTTTTTTTATCCTCACTGAGGATATTTTTTCCATTGACTTTTTTTTTTCTTTTTAGAGAAAGTGAAGGGGGGGGAAAGGAGGAGAGAAGAACATCAATGTGAGAGAGAGACATAGATTGGTTGCCTCTTGCACATGTGCAACAGGGGCTGGGATTGAGCCTGAAACCGAGGTATATGCCTTTGACTGGGAATCGAACCTGAGACCCTTCACTCCACAGGCTGATGCTCCAACCCCTGAGCCAAACCAGATAGGGCACTAAATACTTTTGAGCTCTAAATTTCATATGCTCTAATGGGCCATTATATTTTGAAAACTGTATCAACCATGATATCTCTTTTATTCAAATTTTAAGCTGCCAGACTTAGTCTGATCATTTCTCATTTCCATAGTTTATCCATGCCCACTGTTCAGCGTCAGATTTCGGAAGCCATTGTTTGGAGAGACGGGACATACCATTATGAATCTTCTTTCAGTAAGTTGGTAATTTTTGCTTTCCTTTTCCTTACTGGGGTTTATATAGGTGAAAGAAAAGAAGGGTTTTACTATTTTGTTGATAGCAATGCCTCTGCTGCTTCAGGCAGGTGAAGATTTATATATATATGTTAGAGGCCCGGTGCACCAAATTCATGCATGGGGGGGGGTGTCCCTCAGCCCAGCCTGCACCCTCTCCAATATGGGACCCCTCAAGGATGTCCCAACTGTCCGTCCATTGGGCAGTTGGACATCCCTCTCACAATCCAGTACTGCTGGTTTCCAAGTGCTTGCCTGCCTGCCTTCCTGATTGTCCCTAATCACTTCTGCCTGCCAGCCTGATCACCCCTAACCACTCCCCTGCCCACCTGATTGATGCCTAACTGCTCCCTTGCCAGCCTGTTTGCTCCTAACTGCCCTCCCCTGCAGTCCTGGTCACCCCTAACTGCCCTCCTCTGCAGGCCTGGTACCCCCCCCCCCCAACTGTTCTCCCCTGCAGGCTTGGGTTTCCCCCAAATGCCCTTCCCTGCAGGCCCCATCATACCCAACTTCCCTCATCTGCTGCCCTTGTCACCCCTAACTGCCCTCCTCTGCAGGCCTGGTACCCCCCCAACTGTTCTCCCCTGCAGGCTTGGGTTTCCCCCAAATGCCCTTCCCTGCAGGCCACATCGTACCCAACTTCCCTCATCTGCTGCCCTTGTCACCCCTAACTGCCCTTCCTGCAGGCTTGATTGCCCCCAACTGCCTTTCCTTGCAGGCCTGGTCCCTCCCAGCTGCCCTTCCCTGCTGGGCATTTTGTTGGCCATCTTGTGTCCACACGGGGCCATCTATCTTGTGTGTTGGAGTGATGGTAAATTTGCATATTATTTTATTAGATAGGATAGAGGCCTGGTGCATGGTGGGGGCCAGCTGGTTTGTCCTGAAGGGTGTCCCGGATCAGGGTTGGGGTTCCTTTGGGGTGTGGGGTGGCCTGGCGAGGGGCCTGTGGTGATTTGCAGGCCTGCCATGCCCCCTGGCGACCCAAGCAGAGGCCCTGGTATCTAGGATTTATTTATCTTCTATAATTGAAACTTTGTAGCCTTAAACAGAGGCCTTAAACAGGCAAGGGGTGCAGAAACTTGGCTTCCTCCATCGCTGGTGGCAACTCAAGCCTCCTGCTCTCTCCAGCTCCGTGGCTGCTGTCATTTTTGTTGGGATTTATTTAACTTTTATAATTGAAACTTTGTAGCCTTGAGTGGAGGCCTGACCTGCCAGGGTGTGCAGAAAGCTTGGCTTCCCTCGTTGCCAGGGAAACCCAAGCCTCCTGCTATCTGTGTGGCTGTAGTCATCTTGATTGGGTTAATTTGCATACTCGCTCCTGATTGGCTGGTGGTTGTGACTTGTGGGTATGGTCAATTTGCATATTACTCTTTTATTACATAGGCTATTCTTTTCCAAGTATAAGGGGCCTTGGAGTGAAATAGTACAGGATTCTAGCTCCTGATTTTACACTTATTATGTAAGTGACCTTGCAGGATTATTTTTAGGACTAGAGGTAATGAATATTTATTTATTTATTTATTTATTTATTTATTTAAAATATATTTTATTGATTTTGTACAGAGAGGAATGGAGAGAGAGAGTTAGAAACATCGATGAGAGAGAGTCATCGATCAGCTGCCTCTTGCACACCCCCTACTGGGGATATGCCCACAACCAAGGAACATGCCCCTAACTGGAATCGAACCTGGGTCCCTTCAGTCCCCAAGCCGACGCTCTATCCATTGAGCTAAACCGGTAGGGGTAATGAATAATTAAATAATAGAGCCATAGTCCCAAACTGTGATTCTTTGGCCCTTTGAGTGTGGCTCTTCCACAAAATACCATGGCTTGGGTGAGTCTATTTTGAAGAAATGGCATTAGAAGACGTTTAAGTTTAAAAAATTTGGCTCTCAAAAGAAATTTCAATCATTATACTGTTGATATTTGGGTCTGTTGACTAATGAGTTTCCTGACTACTGGCATAGAGCATTCTGTCTTGTTTTTATTTTAAGCCAAGCATTCTGGAGTGTATCTAGAATATAGCTAGAATCTGAAAACTTCTCACAACCTTTTGAACTATTTACATCTGAGTTGAAATGATCACTGTCTCTTGCCTTGATTATTTTTAATTGTGTTTATATGATCTCCTACCATGCATCTCTGGCTAACCATCAAACATTCCAGCATCCCCTATAACAGTGGTTCTCAACCTTTCTAATGCCTCGACCCTTTAATACAGTTCCTTATGTTGTGGTGACCCCCCCAACTATAAAATTATTTTTGTTGCTACTTCATAACTGTAATTTTGCTACTGTTAATGAATCGTAATGTAAATATTTGTGTTTTCTGATGGTCTTAGGCTCTACAGCAGCGACCCACAGGTTGAGAACTGCTAGCAGGGTCGTGGCAGAGAAGGGCAGTTAGGGTCAATCGGGCCGGCAGGAGAGCAGTTAGGCGTTGATCAGGCTGCCAGGGGAGTGATTAGGTGGTGATCAAGCCGGCAGGCAGAAGCAGTTAGGGGCAATCAGACAGGCAAGCTTGGGAGCCAGCAGTCCTGGATTGTGAGAGGGGTGACTGACTGCCCTTGAGGGGTCCCAGATTGGAGAGGGTACAGGCTGGGCTGAGTGACACCTGCCCCTTTCACCCCTTGTGCATGAATTTCATGCACCGCGCTTCTAGTTGTATATAAGAGATATATGAAACTTTTAAATTTATAAGCATTTACAATCAAATGAAGTGCTGGAATACACATACCAGTATATTATGGGACTCTCATTATTATTATTTAGATGAATTGAAGCTTTTCGTTTTGACATTTTTTCCACTTTACTAATTTTATTACTATAAGTGGAACCCAGTCATTGATCACTTTTTTATTCTACCTCAATCTGCTTTTGCCCAGGACTTCAGGAATTACCAATATACATTGCCAATAGTTCAAGGTTTGGTGGTTGATATGGAAGTTCGGAAAACCAGCATCAAAATTCCCAGCAACAGATACAATGAGGTAAGATTTATCGTGAGGCATATTTTTCATATGCGTGAATGAAGTTGAAAAATATGGGATTATTTATAAAGTTTATTTTTAATTAATAGACAGTGAAATCAGTATTGTATGACCTAGATCAATGATGAGAAATTTTATAATTAGCAAGATATTAAATTTGTGATTTATTTAGTCATTGTTTGTGCTTTTGACCTTTGCATACTGTGATAATCAGTGATAGATTTGCATTCTGATCAAGATATAAAATAAACTTTATTATATTCACGGTGGAATCCTTTCATTTTTCCTTTATTGTAAGTACATGTTATTTTTGACTGTCATTAATGTTTTAGCACAGGTCACTTTAAGTCCCAAAATGACATTTAAGTAAGGTTCCAAAAGCAAGTGATTGCATCTTAAATTAAGCTGTATCATGTAAATAAAATGAAATTGTGCATACTATATACATATTAACAGTTGTATAAACCTTTACCTATTTGTCATGTGAAATCTTTCTTGAATTTAAAATGTTCTTAAGATAATTTCTGAAATGTCTAATAGTAAACATTGTGATTTAAAATAAGTGTTATTTTAAAATTTAGCTTGATATTATAATAGTTAAAATGTGTTGTTTGTGTAAAGTTGTTGTTTTATTAGGCAAGATGATAACTCCCTGATCACTTCTTTCACTACTTCTTGATATGAAATAATTTCCTACTTCCCTCTCTTTTTTTCTTTCTTTCTTTTATTTATTTATTTATTTATAAAATATATTTTATTGATTTTGTACAGAGAGGAAGGGAGAGAGATAGAGAGAAACATCGATGAGAGAGAGCCATCGATCAGTTGCCTCTTGCACACCCCCTACTGGGGATATGCCCGCAACCAAGGTACATGCCCTTGACCGGAATCGAACCCGGGTCCCTTCAGTCCCCAAGCGGACGCTCTATCCATTGAACTAAACCGGTCCCGGCTCTTTCTTTTATTTTTTTTTCTTCTTTATTCAGACTTCTGTTTACTTATTCACTTGTGCATTCAATAAACATTGTGTACTTGTTATGTACTTAGAATCACACAAATGTTTTACTGGACTTAGAAGCTCAGGGCTCTGCATTGAGATAATGATCTATGTTAAGAAAGCCTTTACTTATGGCTTTCTCTGTGATGGCTTTTTTCAGGAGAATGGAAAATAGCGGCTAGTGTATGCTTAATTTTTTCTGGGATACGATTAGCAGTTTTTAGCTTTTAGTCCTACCTGGAAATAAATATCAAGCATTAATGTACTAGAGTAGGTAGAGGCAGATCTTCAAAGTGAATTATAAAGAGATTATGCTTTGAAAACTTGTTTTCTAATATTTGAAGTTTTATTTGATTCACAAACATTGATTAAGCACATTCTGTGTTATGAATTACAAAGATGAGTAAGAATATTTTGCTTGCCTTGTGGGAGCTTACTGTCCAGAAGTAAGATGATCAAATATCATCCCCAAACTGATAACATATATTACTATACTTGGTGTTTGCATGATTGTGCTTTGTGTTGGGAATTGGGTCTGCTTAGTATATCTGCAAAAGCTATGAGGCTTCCCATGGTTATTTCAGTACTGACTGATGACATTCATGATAACAGCTGTCATTCATATTATTTGTTTTAATCTGAATTCTGTCTTCTAGGTTTATGATTGTGCAGTTTCAGAAATCTTTGTTCAAGAATCATAATCACATTTCTTGTCATTTATTACATTTCATTTTCAATAAAGTTCACCAATTAACAGGTTTTTTTTCTTACCTGATTTAGCAGACTGACTTCTAATTCAGTTTTTGTTTCAATTCAACATAATTGTATCTCTCACAATCTTGGAGAGTTGAACTGTGTTGTGTCTAATAAGTCTTCATATTTGAAAAAGCATATTTCATTATATACATTATTTCATTTAATCAACCACAACATTCTACTTTTCCTCTCATTCATTTTTTCTTTTATACCCATAGTCTTTCTTATTACTTCCTAGCCTGTGTTCCTTTTTTGCTCTATAGCCCTTGCACAAGCCATATTATCGATGCACACTTCCCCTCTTCACCTACCTAACGCTCACTCATTTTTAAATTTTTTTATTTTTGTTAGCTCTCTCATCCAAGGATAAATATCCATTGATTTTTAGAGAGTGTGAAAGTGAAAGGGAGAGACAGAGAGAGAAACATTGATGTGAGAGAGTCACATTGATTGGTTGCCTCCTGCATGCACCCCAACTGGGGCCAGAGATTGAGCCTGCAACCAAAATATGTGCCCTTGGCCAGAATCCAACCCAGGACCCTTCAGTCCACAAGCCAACGCTCTATCCACTGAGCCAAATCTGCCAGGGCTAATTTTTCAGTTGTCAATTTCAATAACATTTTCTTAGAAAGGCTTCGTTTAACTGCCAACTGGGATAATCCTCCTTGTTATAAGCATTCCTAGAAATTCACATCTGTGTGCAGTACTCACTACAGATGGCCCTAAAATCTGAGGAGTGTTATACATTTCTTTTCTGTTAGGGAGGAAGAATGGATGCAAAATAGAACATGGAAGTGGTATGGAAGACAATGTTTAACCACAGGTATAAATTAAAATAAAAGGATCCCCAAGAAGAAGCCCTAGATGTTGTACCTCCATTGACTGCAACAGGAAGTAACTGCTGAACACTGCTTACTCAGAATAAGATTGTCCCTTCTCCCATGAACAGTGGCTCCAGAACACTGCTGCTAGACAAATCCCTAACTCCCTGACTCCCAGCGCTCACAGCCTTGCTGCCACTTTTGGTCTTAAAACCACCAACTCTAATCTCAAATGTTCAAGCACTATAAGAAGTCCTGGGCTCCTGAGGCATCTTCCATCCTCACAATTGTAATATCTATCTATGTTCATCTCTCACTCAATTCAGAATATCCCAAACTTAGTCCTTTTAAGTTCATTTGTCTCTGACCATTTCCTTGGTGATCTGTCCAGTCCTCTGGCTTTAAATACTGTCTCTCTGCTGATGTCTTCTAAGTGTTCTCCAGCCTGAATCTCTCTCCTCTTTGTGGACTTGAGTGTCTTACTGCCCACTTGACAGCTCTATTTGCGTAGGCATCTCAAGTTTAGCAAGTTCAACTCTGACCTCTTACTCTCCCTCAAAACCTGCTCTTCATGTAGCATTCCATAAGTTAATGACAGTGCAGTCCTTCCTGAGAGTCATCTGTCTTTTCTTTCATATCCCATATTTAATCTGTCAATAAATTCTGCTGGCTCTACCTTCCAAATATATCTAGAATCCAACCTCCTCTCAATCCTTGGGCCTATCTTAATCTCTGCCCTGGGTTTGTTCAGTAGCCTTGCCATTGGGACCCTTTCCCCCATCAGTCTAGTCACAGCACAATAGCCATAGTGATCCTGTTTCACCTAAGTCAGATCATACCACTTCTCTGGTAAAAATCCTCCCAAGATCTTTTATCCCAGTCAGAATAAAAGGTGAAGCCCTAAAAAAAAAAAAAAGGAGTCCTTAGTCCTTTCCATTACTTCTCTAACCTAATTTCATAGCCTCTTCTTTTTCTGTCAGTCAGCTCCAGCCACACTGTCCTTAATGGTCCTTGAAACTACTAGGCATGCTACCACTCCAGGGCCATTGTTCCCACTGTTCTAATGCCTATAAGCTCTCATTGAGATAATCCCTCTCACTTTTCAGTAAGGCCTTTTCTCACTATCCTATTATTTATTTGTTTGTTTGTTTATTTTAAGTTTCAAAGTGAGGAAACAAGAGGGGGGATAGAAACATCAATGATGAGAGAATCATTGATTGGCTATCTTTGCATGGCCCTTACTGGGGATCAAGCCTGCAATCCGGACACTTGCCCTGACTGGGAATCGAACCCTGACCTCCTGATTCATGGGTTGATGCTGAACCACTGAGCAACACTGGTTGGGCTGACTATCCCATTTCAAGTGGCCAGTCCTCCTGGTCCTACTTATTTTTCTATTTAATACTTATTAATGTCTAAAATTTTATGTATCTTATTTATTGTTTTTGTTTTTTCCCCTTACACAAGAATTTAAATTTTATCTATGAAGGAAGGGATTTATTAAATAAAGTACTAACACAGTACCTGGTACATATCACATGCTCAATAAGTATTTGCTAAATGAACGAGCCAAGGTTCATAGTTAATATGTAGACACATAGAACTGGAAGGTGGGTGCTAGCTACTGGACACAAGTGAACTCCAGCTAACTATTGAGATAAATATTTGTATTTTTTCTAAATATCTGCAGGAAAGGATATTGCCCCTTTCCCCCTGTTCCTTCATCAGTCAGCTATGTTCCCTTCTTCATTCTATTTCTGTTTCTTCACCCATGCTTTTCTGTTTATCCAAAGTGTTCTTCCTATGTACCTGACTTCAAAGCCACTTCAAATGATCCACTTTAGAGAATTCCCTAGAATTATCTGTGTCCCATTGTCACTCTTTCTTCCCCGTTTTCCCAGATTTCTGTATACATGTAACATGGATAGCTGATTAGTATGAACCGCCTCCGGCTCTCTGTATCTTTCATTCTTCATTGTGTCCATGGTGTGATGGTTTGCTTTCATAGATTTCCATGCCTCTGTGATGGACCCTCCTCTCTGAAGTTCTTGTGACTTGATAAATACTTATAGAATTAAATCATTAAAACTTCTTTTATTGGATACCTGACCTATGTGACACTGCAGTTATAAGTGAACCAAAAAAATTTGTAATTGTGTTAACAGTTACTCTCAGTACAATCCCATGAATATGACAAACCCTCCAAATCCATCCCTGCTTTTATGGTTTACTAATCAATGTACTGAGCAAATATTTATTGAATACCTGCCATGAGGAAGGCCCTATGCTAATAAGCCTTACACATTATGCACAAGTTGTATGGCTGTTCCTCAAGACCCACTTAACTTGTCCTACATAAACCCTTTCCACTTCAATCAAAAGGCTAAATCAGCTGTCATTTTTAACATGTTATCTCAGAGAGGAAG